GGTTATCTTCTTGTTTACTGTGTTAAGTTCTCACAGTCTTGACGTTTGACTGCTTTTTCTGTTATGGAGATTTTATGAACTATTTCTTTTCCATGCTAAACATACTCCTTCAGGGAGTCAGCTTAGACTCTGATTTTCATGCTCTAGTAGCTTTAACACCAGGTATGTGAACTTTAAGAACCCATAGAGCAGCCAAAAGTTGGCAGTAGAAGATCTCTAACATGTTGCTTATACTGGCTTTGAAGGTGGAGAGAATTCAGCATGTAGTTGTCACCCCCTCAGTTTTGTGTGAGTTGAGAGCTGATTATCACCAGAATGTCATTACTTTGTACTGTATAGGCAGTGTCTAGAATTAATATTATTATGGTGTTTTCCTTAATCTGAAAATAAAATTATCCTGATTGAGAGTATGTGCTTTATGCATGAGAACGTAACAGTTCATACAGTTTAGCAAAGAGGTTGCTGTCATTCCCTCCAGGCACAAAACTCTGAAGAGATGGAACACAAATCTTAGGATATAATTGGACTATGGGTGGGATACAACTTTCAGACTATTTAAAAAATGCTCAAATTAAGATACATCTTGAATAGCATTGGTTATTACAGTTTATGGAAGTCAGTTTTGTTAACTTAATTAGATAGTACTTGTGGATGATTACTGAATATGTGGTTTTTCAACCATGATATAATCAGCAGGGATCCTGGTTTTCTCTGATTTAAGAAAATCCCCAATTATCGGTTAAAAAAAAAGTAACCCCAAATCCATGAATGACGCGTGCTCCCAGAGGCTGGGGGGGTACGGTGACTGCCCTCAGGCAGTGGCGGGGGCATGGCGGTGGGGAATGGGGAGCTCCCACAGGCAGCCACAGCAGTGTTGACGGCGGGGGCAAGGACGTGGGTGGTGAGCACCGACTGGCGGTCAGCGATGGTGTTGGCAGCGAGGGGGGGGGGTGACCACCCACAGGCGCTGCCGGCAGCATCGGCAGTTCTTTAAGGGGTGCACTGCTAGTCTCAGGGGATGTATGTGTACCCACTGTGCGTTGCCAGTGCCGAGATCCACATTTTTCCATGATTTAAATGAAACGCCACTAGATAGATAGATGTGAAATATATATATAGTGGTGTTTCATTTTAATCACCAAAAAATATGGATTTGGGCTTACTTTTTTTAACTGAAAATTGGGGATTTTTTTAAATTGTAGAAAACCAGGACCCCTGATATTCAGAGATATTTTGCAGACGGTATGTAATCTTTTTCTTTTTTCTGATTACAGAATTCATTATGTGTTGTCCCTATGAGTCTTTGATACAATTTATTTAATAATGTTTATAACAATTTTAAAGGTATAGGAGTTGGATTTTTGTTTGTTTTTTTAAGTTAAACTTAAAGGCGTAAGAGGCTTGTTGCAAAGAAGCCTATGGTCTGACAAACATTCCTAGGTGTCGTCATGAAAGTGAATGCACCCCTGCAACTACCATGATCTTTAATGGGAAGTTGCAGGTGCTTGTTCCATCACAGGAAAAGGGGGTGTGTCTACATGTGAAAGTGTCACAGCATGTGGTCCTCAGGGATGGGGGTAATGACCCTAGGGCTCTGGCCGTGCCTGCTTCACCCTGTGGGCACCTTCTAGTCTTACCTACCACGTCTTGTTGGTTAAAATAATAAGCTAGGAGGTTGCCCATGAGTTTGTATAGTCATGGTCCTGCTGAACCCCACTAGAGCTGGCTGATCTTGGATCCCTTGCTGGGTCTCACTCAACGTGAGTGCCTCCTGAGACACCCTAAGCCTTATGGGCTCTATGCGTGGCTTCAAAGCCGCCCCTTTACCACGCCCCACGCCTCACAGATTGTATTTAAACATTGTCTCTTGATGAGGCTGCAGTCTAGCTCAGCCTCCTGTCGTCACTGGGCCCTTGGCCCCAGTAGCTGCACCCTGTCACGCTGGGGTCTCTTCACCCCCTGGTGCTGGGGTCTTTTCACCCCCTGTAGCAGCACCCTCTGATGCTGGGGCTTTACATGGTAGTGTGCCCCAAAGAGGCCTCCTTCTCCCCAGTTAGCCTTATTCCAGTCCACCAGTTCAAATGACAACATAAATACTTGCCCCTGGACTATAACATAACAATAACATTGGAAGACACACTCTTCCCCTTTAAGGAGGAAAGCTTCTCTCTCAGCAATGTGAGCTTCCTAGCCCCAGATACTTCAGGAGCTCCTACAATCCATTAGTTTTACCATCAGCAGAATAGGTAACCAAGCATCTCTGAGTAGCATTTCTGCAAGAGCTCTTTCCCCCGACTGCTGACAGAGAACTAACCCCCTACCAGCCCCAGCCCTGGGGCTT